TCTCATTTTCAACCGCGCATTGTGGAATACACTCGCTCTTTGTTTCAGTACAGGCGATACGTTCTACAGCAGCACGAATTTATGTCCTTAAAAGTGGTTTCAAAACAAAACTTTTTTTTATTTTCCGGGGGTGGGGTCTCCTTTCCAGTGACTCGTGCCCGGGGACATTTCAGGGAGGACACCCGTACAGGCGCGAGGGGCCGAATATCGCCATGACGTCACGGCGGACTAATTATAGAGCCCGAGCTGCACGCGCCTGTGCCGTGAGTGACGTCACCAGAGGGGTGCTGTCCCCGGAGAGCGGCTCTCTGCGGCCGGCCCGAGACCTGGGCGTGTCCCCGGACCCGCGTCACCCTGCGGCTCCGCACACCGAGCAGGACGGGCCAGACCGGGCCACCTGTAGGCGTCAGGGCTTGAAGTAAAAAGTGCCCACTCTCCTGCAAGAGCCGTGGAGTTTGAAACGAGCCAAGAGCGCCAGAGAGCGAAACTACACCTCGAACTCGAGGACTTCGTCATTATCGTCGTCCTTGAGTCTTTATTTATTGAGGGTTTTCCGAAAAGTCGCCGCTTTCAGCAGCGGAGCAGAAGAGCTTTAAATAACCTGGAAACTCCTGATTTTTTTTTTCAGGAGTAGAAAAGGCAGCGGTATCCGGATCAGCAGTGTATCTGCCCGTTCTTGCCGCCGGTCAGCGGTCGCTGGGCAGCTTGGAAGCGAGCAGGTCCAGCGAACTGCAGCGCAAAGCTCCTCTCAGAGACAGAACTTCGAGAACTCGGTCACTCAGCCCCAAGCGGACAGCGACAGCACACAGCGACACACACGGCGCGTTACCTTGCTGGGTTCGCTTGCGTTTGGTTTTGTACTGTGAAATGAGAATGAGAAACAAAATCGATCAACCGCAGAAGGCGCCCCGCGCGCAGCTGTGCTCCGGGTCCGGCGGCGCCCGCCGCGCGCTCGCGCGTGCCTTTATACCGAGGAGCCGCGGCGCGCGGGGCTCCGCTCGCGGTCAGCTGACCGGCGCGAGAGAAAGTTCTGGGTCCCCGCTCGCGTGCGGCGCCCGCCCCGTGGCCGAGCGGGTCCCTGCCCGGTGTCAGCAGATCTGCACGTTTGG